AACAAAAGAAGTTAGAGAAAAACAGCAAAATTTTCAAAATGCTAAAGGAATGTATTATTTTTAAGTAAGAATGATATCCACAGGAAACATATCATTCAGGTGTAAAAATAGAATAAAATATTTTCAAAAATAGAAGTTGTTAGCACATTTACATTTTAAAAGGAAGTATATGGCAGGAGACATACTAGAAAGGAGAAAAAAAAAATTCCCACACAACAGCTATGTGGTAAATCAGGTCAAGATAGAGGGATCTGGGGAAGAAGTCTCAAAAGATGAAATACTACAATGAAAGGAAAAAACACAATACCTACTATATTTACTAGTAAATGTATTAAGAGGATATTTTCAGCTCAACTTAAGAGTTTTGGAAGGAATTAGTGATGTATATGTAGAAAGTGAAGCAACTGAAAAACAGGTAATTAATAATTTCAAGAAAAATTAAAAAGTTAAATGGTTCTTGATCATTGTGATGATTATATGGGTATGTTCACTTTGTGAAAAATCATCAAATTACACATTTTGTTTTAGGCACTTTCTGTGTATGTGAAAGTACGTCAATGAAAAGCTTTCCTAAAATAAAAAGTGTAAATCTCTTAGCTCTAGCCACAGAAATGGCCTAGAAACAAACAAAAAACTTATTTGAGAAAGAAAGTATATAGTACCTTAGGTGACTCTAATGTGTATGATATTTGGTTATAAATGCAGAACACTGATTAACCCAAAACTGTGATATAACTATATTGAGGTAAAAATTGAGGAGATGATGGGGTATAAAAAAAGGTTAAGTCCACATCTTTCACAACAGATATTCAGAATAATTTTTAAATCTAAAAAAGCAGGGATACCTACATAAGCAGATGACCAAGAAATAGGGAGTTTAAAAGCAACTTGTATCTATGGACCTGACAATGACTCCCTTTGGGAACTGGGAACTGAAAATGAGGTGTTATGGGGCAGGCAGAGGTTGGCTATATATCGTTATAAGCATTGAAACGATTTGACTTCTTAAGCTGTGTATATGTAATAACTTGATGAAAACGAAAAGCATTTAAAAAGAGACAATTTGGCCCTTGCTGGTTTGGCTCAGTGGATAGAGCGTCAGCCTGTGGACTGAAGGGTCCCAGGTTCGATTCCGGTCAAGGGCACATGCCCAGGTTGCGAGCTCGATTCCCACTAGGGGGCGTGCAGGAGGCAGCCAATCAATGATTCTCTCTCATCATTGATGTTTCTCTCCCTCTCCCTTCCTCTCTGAAATCAATAAAAAAATATTTTTAAAAAAGGGAGACAATTTGTATTCCCACCAATAGTACACCAGGGTTCCCTTTTCTCCACATCCTCACCAACACTTGTTGTTTACTGATTTATTGATGATAGCCATTCTGACAGGTATGAGCTGATTCCTCATTATAGTTTTAATTTACATTTTTCTGATTAGTGACCTTGAGCAGCTTTTGATATGTCTATTGGCCATCCATACGTCCTCTTTGGAGAGGTATCTATTTCAGGTCTTTTGCCTATTTTTTAAATTGGATTGGGTTTTTTTTGTGCGTGTTGAGTTTTATAAGTTCTTTATAAATTTTGGATATTAACCCCTTATCAGATCTATCATTGGCAAATATGTTCTACCATTCAGTGGGTTGTCTTTTCATTTTGTTCATGGTTTCCTTTGATGCAGATTGGTGCAGCCACATGAAAAGCAGTATGGACTTAACCAAAAACAAACAAACAAACAAAAACTGTCAACGATTCCACTTACACTAATTTGAAAGAATATATGTAGTACCCCTATGTTCATTGCAATGTCATTTACAATAGACAAGATTTGGAAGTAGCCCAAGTGTCCATCAGTAGATGAGTAGATAAAAAAAAACTGTGGTACGTTTACTCAATGGATTACTACTCTGCCATAAAAAGGAAGAAAATTTACCCTTTGTAACATTATGTCTGAACCTGGAGAACATTATGTTAATTGAAATAAGCCAGTCAGAGAAAGACACTTGTAAGTACCACATGATTTCACTCATATGTGGAATTTATTGAACAAACTGAACTACCAAGCAAAATAGAGACAGACTCATAGAAAGCAGGCAAACAGCTGGATGTGGGTGTGGGTGGGGGATGGAAGATTGAACAAATAAAAAATAAAAAGAGAGAACTCATGGATAAGGACAATAGTGTGGTGATTGCAAGAGGGGAGGGGATGGGTGGAGGTAGAAGAGGGCATAGAGAGGATAAATGGTGGCAGGAAAAATAAAAAAATTTAAAAAGCAACAATTTAAAAAAGGAAAAGCTATGGCTATTTCAAAAGTGACATGATATCTTAAAAAACACTTTTTTAAAATATATTTTAAATTTTTTAATTTTTTAAATTTATCTTTTTATTGTTGACTGTCTTACAGATGTCCTCCACGCCCCCCCCTTACTCCCTCCCACCCAGCCCCCACTCCACCACAGGCCTTCACAGACTATTGTCTGTGTCCATGGGTTATGCATATATGCATATAAATTATTTGGTTAATCTCTTAAAGCCCCCACCCTTCCCTCTGAGATCTGTCAATCTGTTCCATGCTTCCATGTCTCTGGACCTATTTTGTTCGTTAGTTTATTTTGTTCATTAGATTCCACATATAAGTGAGTTCATGTGGCATTTATCTTTCTCTGACTGGCTTATTTTGCTTAGCATAATCTCCAGGTCCATCCATACTGTCTCAAAGGGTAACAGACCCTTCTTTTTTACACCTGCATAGTTGTCCATTGTGTAAATGTACCACAGCTTTTTTAAAAAATTCTTTAATTGTTGAAAGTTTTACATATGTTTCCTTTTTCCCCTATTGACCTCTCCCAGCCCACTCCGGCCTCCCAGCACAGGCCCTCACCCCCTAGTGTCTGTGTCCATTGGTTATGCTTCTATGCATGCATACAAGTCCTTCGGTTGATCTCCTACCCCTCCTGTCCCCTCCCCTGCTTCCTTCTGAGGTTTGATGGTATTCGATGCTTCCATGTCTCTGGATCTTTCTACAACTGGCTTATTTTGCTTAGCATAATGCTCTCCACGCCCATCCATACTGTTGCAAATTGTAAGAGTCCTTTCTTTATTACAGCAACATAGTATCCCATTGTGTAGATGTGCCACAGTTTTTTAATCCATTCATCTGCTGATGGGCATTTTGGCTATTTTCAGATCTTAGCTATATAAATAATGCTGCTACGAATACAGGAATGTATATATTCTTTCTGATTGGTGTATCTGGATGCTTAAGATATATTCCCAGAAGTAGGATCACTGGGTCAAAACACAGTTCCATTTTTAATATTTTGAGGAAACTCCATCCTGTTTTCCTTAATGGTTGCACCAGCCTGCATTCCCACCAGCAGTGTACTAGGGTTCCCTTTTCTCCACATCCTCACCAGCACTTGTTGTTTGGTGACTGATGGTAGCCATTCTGGCAGGCATGAGGCAATACCTCATTGTGATTTTTAATTTTCATCTCTCCGATGATTAGTGAAATTAAGCATTTTTTTATGTCTATTTGCCATCTGTCTGTCCTATGTGGAGAAGTGTCTATTCAGGTCCTTTGCCCATTTTTAAAAAATTATATTTTATTGATTTTTTACAGAGAGGAAGGGAGAGGGATAGAGAGCTAGAAACATCGACGAGAGAGAAACATCAATCAGCTGCCTCCTGTACACCCTCTACTGGGGATGTGCCTGCAACTGAGGTACATGCCCTTGACCGGAATCAAACCTGGGACCCTTCTTTCCAAAGGCCTTTGCTCTATCCACTGAGCCAAACCGGTTAGGGCTCCTTTGCCCATTTTTTATTGGATTGTCCTTTTGTTGAGTTGCATTATATATTTTGGAAATTAATCCCTTACCAGATATATCATTAGCAAATATGTTCTCTCATAGTGGGATCCCTTTTCATTTTGATGATGGTTTCTTTTGCTGTGCAGAAGTTTTTTAGTTAGATGTAGTCCCATTTGTTTATTTTGTCCTTTATTTCTCTTGGCCTAGGACCATGGTTAGCAAACTGCGGCACGCGAGCCACATGCGGCTCTTTGGCCCCTTGAGTGTGGCTCTTCCTAAGCCTTAGGAGTACCCTAATTAAGTTAATAACAATGTACCTACCTATATAGTTTAAGTTTAAAAAACTGGCTCTCAAAAGAAATTTCAATCATTGTACTGTTGATATTTGGCTCTGTTGACTAATGAGTTTGCCGACCATTGGCCTAGGAGATGTATCAGTGAAAATTCTGCTATGAGAGATGTCTGAGATTTTATTGCCTATGTTTTCTTCCAGGATTTTTTATGGCTTCACGATTTGCATTTAAGTCATTTATCTATTTTGAGCTTATTCTTGTGTATGGTGTAAGTTGGTGGTGTAGTTTCATTTCTTTTAACGGTTTCAAGAAATTTATTTTCTATTTTTTCTTTTACAGTTATTTTTTAAAATTTATTTTTATTGTTGAATGTATTACAGATGTTCCCTTTTTTCCCCTTTAACCTCTTCTAGCCTGCCCCGACTCCCTGTCCGCCCGGCCTGCCCCAGGCCTTCACCACACTATTGTCTGTGTCCATGGGTTATGCATGTGTACATATAAGTCCTTTGGTTAATTCCACCCCTGCCTTCCCTCTGAGATTCAATAGCTTGTTCCATGCTTCTATGTCTCTGGATCTATTTTGTTCATCAGTTTATTTTGTTCATTAGATTCCATATATGAGTGAGATCATGATATTTGTCTTTCTCTGACTGGATTATTTTGTTTGGAGGGGAAGTGACAGAGAGAGAGAAACATCAATGTGATAGTTTCATTTTTAATTGTATATTGTCCATCTCCCCTTGGATAGTAAATTATTCAAGGACAGGTATTATTGAAAATACAATACAGCACTTAAAACTTTGCATATAGTAAGCCATAGTAATTAATTGTTAAAATGTCAGTCCTTTAAAAACAAAGGAATATTATCAGGACATTGGTTTAACTTTTTATGCAATGCAGGCATCGTTTCTACATCCTCAACTGGGTCATCATTGAAGAACATCTTGAACATCTCCAGTGATGACAAGCTTATTATCTCATGAAGCAGTTCATTCCAACTCAGGACAGTTCTGCTTGCGTGAAGAGTCTTCTTTATACCAGATCAAACCTCTCTCCATATAATTTCCACCTTTGGAGTTAGGCCAAGTAAGTCGAATTCCTTTTACATATCCAGTCTTACACATTTTAGAAAACAATTGTAGATATTGCCCATATCCTCTCTTTTGCAGGACAAATATTTCCATTCCTTTGAATAATTCTCCATATATTACGTATGGTCTTCCAATCTCATCCTTTCCATGACAGTTTGGAAATTTCTAATTTATGAATTTTCGTCACAAAATACCACATTCAGAACTTAACACAATCCCTCTCCCATTTGCTTTGACTAACAGAGTCAGTGGAACAAATACCTTTCTTAGCACTATTACTCATGAGAGCAAAATGACTATTCTGATAGTTCTGATAGAAAGCTTCTATCTAACTAAAATCTCCAGTAATTTCATAAGCCCTGCTATGAATGCAAGGGCCTTCCATTTTGTAGATGTGAATTTGTTTTCTAAACAACTGGTGAACATTTTATATCTACCCTGATTAAACACATTGTTGTAACTTTTAGTATAGTGTTCCATGTTATTTTAATCTTTGAATCCCAACTCTGTACTTCCACATAATAAAGACCCCTCCAAATTCTGCGCCATCAACATATTTGATAAGCATGCCTTTATAAGAACATCTAAATCACTGATAAAATATTTGCATAAATAGCCCCAGCCAGTTTGGCTCAGTGGATAGAGTGTCATCCTACAGACTGAAGGGTCTCAGGTTCAATTCCCATCAAGGGCACATGCTCAGGTTGCAGGCTCAGTCCCTAGTAGGGAGTGTACAGCAGGCAGCCAATCAATGATTCTCTCTCATCATTGATGTTTCTATCTCTCTCTCCCTCTCCCTTCCTCTCTGAAAGCAATAAAAAATATATTTAAAAAATATTTGCATAAATATATTAAAACTGAGTCCCATAGCATAACAGCATAACATTAGAGTTCTTTTCTTGTGATTGATATTAATTCAATGTGTAGTTCAAAGAGCTATTTGTAGCTCCCTTAACAGCTTCTTCTTAGCTGCAAAAATATGATGAAAGGTATTATTAAATGCCTTTCTAAAGTCAAGATGCTCTATAAAAATTAAATATTTTATTAACAAAGATTGCTTTTTATTCACTTCATTTCAGATATATCTCTAGATATAGATATAGATATAGATATATATCATTACATATAAATTATGCACATCAACTTAATCCTATGGATAACTACCAACACAATGTCAATATTATCAGTGCCCCTAAAATAATAATTTATATTAATACTAGAGGCCCTGCACGAAATTTGCAGTCTGGGAGCCCTCGAGGGATGTCCGACTGCCCACGGAGGCAGGAGAGGCTCCCGCCACCGCCGCTGTGCTCGCCAGTCGTGAGCCAGGCTCAGCGGTTCTGGCTGAGTGGCACTCCCCCTGTGGGAGCGCACTGACCACCAGGGGGCAGCTCCTGCTTTGAGCATCTGTCCCCTGGTGGTCAGTGCATGTCATAGCGACCGGTCATTCTGTCATCAGGCCAGGACTGGCTCTCTGACATTCCCCAAGGGGTCCCGGATTGCAAGAGGGTGCAGGCCAGGCAGAGGGACCCCACCAGTGCACAATCGGTGCACAATCGGGGCCAGGGAAGGATGCGGGAGGTTGGACAACCGGGAAAGAGCCGTGGGAGGGCTCCAGGGCTTGTCTTGCCCGTCTTGCCCATCTTGCTCAGTCCCGATCGGCCAGACCCCAGCAGCAGGCTAACCTACCAGTAGGAGCGTCTGCCCCCTGGTGGTCAGTGCACATCATGTCAACTGGTCGACTGTCTGCCCCCTGGTGGTCATGGCATGTCATAGCAAGCAGTTGAGCTGCCTTAGCATATCATTAGCATATTATGCGTTGATTGGTTGAACAGCCAAACGGACAACTGGACACTTAGCATATTAGGCTTTTATTATATAGGACTAGAGGCCCGGTGCACAAAAATTTGTGCACTCGGGGGGGAAGGGGGGGTCCGTCAACCTGGCCGGTGCCCTCTCGCAGTCTGGGACCCCTCGGGAGATAACGCCCTGCTGGCTTAGGCCTGCTCCTGGGTGGCAACGGGCAGGCCCAATCCCTAGGTGCAGCCCCTGGTCGGGCTCAGAGAAGGGCTGATTGGGGAGTTGGGGCGCTGCCCCCTGTCATGCACAGAGCAGGGCGGATTGGGAGGTTGCAATGCCACCCTCAGTCACGCTCAGGGTAGGGCCAAATTGGGGGTTGGGGCACCGCCCCCTGTCACATTCAAGGCAGGGTCGATGGAGAGGTTGCGGCACCACCCCGTCACGCACAGAGCAGGGCCCATCAGGGGGGTTGGGGCTCCGTACCCTGTCATGCACAGAGCAGGGCCCATCAGGGGGTTGGGGAGCTCCCCCCTGTCATGCACAGAGCAGGGCCCATCAGGGGGTTGAGGAGCTCCCCCCTGTCACTCACAGAGTAGGGCCGATAGGGGAGTTGGGGCACCGCCCCCTGTCACACACAGAGCAGGGCGGATCAGGGGGTTGGGGCGCCGCCACTGTCACACTCAGGGCAGGGCCGATGGGGAGGTTATGGCTCTACCCCATCACACACAGAGCAGGGCCCATGGGGGGGGGGGGTTGGGGCGCCACCCTCTATCACCCACAGAGCAGGGCCGATCATGGGGTTGGGGTGCTGCTACTCTCATACTCAGGGCACGGCCGATGGGGAGGTTATGGCTCTACCCTGTCACACACAGAGCAGGGCCCGTGGTGGGGTGTTGGGGCGCTGCACCCTGTCACACACAGAGCAGGGCCAATCAGGGGGTTGGGGCGCCTTCCCCTGTTACGAACAGAGCAGGGCAGATAGGGAGGTTGTGGCCCCACCCCCTGTCACAAACAGAGCCGCAGGGCGATCAGGGGGTTTGGGCGCTGCCCCCTGTCACGCTGATCCCGTTGCGGGGAGGCCTCTCAGCTCCACTGATCCCGGTGCTGGGAGGCATATTACCCTTTTACTATATAGGATAGAGGCCTGGTGCATGGGTGGGGCTGGCTGGTTTGCCCTGAAGGGTGTCCTAGATCAGGGTGGGGGTCCCCACTGGGGTGCCTGGCCAGCCTGGATGAGGGGATGATGGCTGTTTGCAGCTGGTTACACACCCTGCAGGGTGGGGGTCCCCACTGGGGTGCCTAGCCAGCCTGGATTAGGGGATGATGGCTGTTTGCAGCTGGTCACACACCCTTCAGGTTGGGGGTCCCCACTGGGGTGCCTGGCCAGTCTGGGTGAGGGGCTGAGGGCTGTTTTCAGGCTGGCGGGTGACTGAAGCTCCCAACTGCTCCTTTTTTTCTTTTTTTTTTTATTCTAGGTCAGCTTTAGCTCTGGCTCCAGCTCTGAGGCCTCTGCTGCTGAAAGCAGGTATCTGATTTGTTTGGGTTCTATAATCAAAACAATGTATAACTCCAGCTCTGAGATCCCGGCCAGCTGAAAGCAGGTTTCTGGGGTTTTGTTTAGCTTCTATATTTGTTACAATGTTTCAAACTGCAGGCTCAGAGGCCGGCAAGGCAGGTGGGGAACGTTGGAGTCCTCCGTCACTGAAGCAAGCAAGCCTCATGTTCGCTTCCAGCTGCCTGGCTGCCGGCTGCCATCTTGGCTGGCAGTTAATTTGCATATCTCGCTGATTAGCCAATGGGAAGGATAGCGGTTGTACGCTAATTACCATGTTTCTCTTTTATTAGATAGGATATTCTCATGTTTGTAAAAATTTTCTTAATGTAAATTTTGTACTAAGACAGTCTGGATATCTTTGCAGAATAATGCTACAATTGAGAAATCAGCAAAATCAGACCAAGACTGGGTTTCCATATGTATGCAATGGATAAGAGAACAAAACTATATCAAATAGTGCATTACTCTGGAAGCCTCAGTTATTTTAAGATAAATTTAACATTATCTATATTGCTTAAAGCTCTCATATGAAATCTTCCCTGTCACTATACTGGTTTAATTAAATCAAGTATATTTAGCAAAATGAGTACATGGACCAAATTAACCCAGAACAGTAGCTTTAGTAATAAGGGCACATCCAGGTGCCCTTTCCACTTTAAAAGTTAAAGATACGGTCAAGTAAAATCTTCCATTCTAGGACATATCTTCCCATATCAAAAAAAAAAAAAATCTATTATTATGTGACAGCATCATGACACAAAATATTATTTTGGGGCAGCCCAGCCAGTGTGGCTCAGTGGCTGAGCATCAATGCAAGCATCAAGAGGTCACCAGTTCTATTCCCAGTCAGGGCACATGCCCCAATTGCAAGCTCATCCCCAATAGAGGGTGTGCAGGAGGCAGCTGATCTATGTTTCTATCTCTCTTCCTCTCCCTTTCTCTCTCACTAAAAATCAATAAAAAAGAACTTATTTAAAATTATTTGGGGGCAGTTGTATAGCTCTGTCACTACTTTCTCCGCTACTTCACACGACTGAATAGACTCATAGTAGCCCCACAATCATGCAAAGTAATTTAGACATTATTTTACATCACTATTTTATTGATGCTTATGAGGAAATTCTTACTGATTTTTCTAATTTTTTAACCTCTTTTCAGAAAACTAGGAGGATTTCTCTGGGAGATAGATATAGCTTTGTGAAGCCAACTGATCCATGGGGAAATGCCCACCTTTTCTTTGTTCAACTCAACCACTTTTGCTTCCTAGGAATAAAGGGAAGATGAAGGATCGACTTCAAGAACTAAAGCAAAGAACAAAGGAACTCGAACTCTCTAGAGACAGGCATGTGTCAACTACAGAAGCAGAGGAACAAGGAAGGATTCTGCAGCAAGCTGTTATTTATGAAAGAGAGCCTGTAGCCGAGAGACACCTACATGAGATCCAAAAACTTCAGGAGAGTATTGACAGTTTGACAGACGATGTTCAAAAATTTGGGCAGCAACAGAAAAGTCTGTTGGCTTCAATGAGAAGATTTAGTCTCCTTAAGAGAGAGTCGGGCATTACAAAAGAGATTAAAATCCAAGCAGAACACATCAAGAGAGGTTTGGATGATTTGGTAAAAGAAGCAAAAAAATCAGAGGCTGAAACTGGTCCATCATCAGTGGTCACAAGGATACTTAAATCTCAGCATGCCGCAATGTTCCACCACTTTCAGCAAACCATGCTGATATACAATGACACAATAGCAGCAAAACAAGAGAAGTGCAAGACATTTATTTTCCGTCAGCTTGAAGTTGCTGGAAAGCAAGTGCCCGAAGAAGAAATAAATGATATGCTTCATCAAGGAAAATGGGAAGTTTTCAATGAAAGCTTGCTTACAGAAATCAATATCACTAAAGCACAACTCTCAGAGATAGAACAGAGACACAAGGAACTTGTTAATTTGGAGAATCAAATGAAGGATTTAAGGGAGCTTTTCATTCATATATCTCTTTTAGTAGAAGAACAAGGAGAAAGCATCAACAATATTGAAATGACAGTGAATGGTACAAAAGAGTATGTTAACACTACTAAAGAGAAATTTGGCCTAGCTGTGAAATATAAAAAAAGAAATCTTTGCAGGGCACTGTGTTGTTGGTGTTGTCCATGCTGTGGCTCAAAATAAAGAACCTGTTTTAGAAAACTCTTCAGCTTTAGAATGAAGGATGCCCTGTATTTCAGTATCTTGTTTTTCTTCATTTCACAGATTCATTCACATACTTTCTTATTATTGTTATAATTTCCTCCTTTGGTCCTTACCCACTAGAACTGCATACACTTCCAAAGCCAGTGACATAAAACGTCTTCATTTACTAAACTAAAAACATTATGCTTAGCTGTTGAAAGTGAGGTGAATGATCTTGTTTCTAATCAGGTATCAATCTCTACCATATGTTTTTGTAATTTCCAATGTCTTTAGGAGATGAACGTCAGTAAGTGACAACTAGTTAAACATTCTTTTTGTTCATTTGAGAATATTTTTGTAGGTAAGAATTGTATAAAATAAGACCTCAAAGGATACTATATTCAAGCAAATTTAACGGCAGCTGTATCAAATCTTTTATGTTCAGATATTGCAGATAATTCAGTGGTCAACTAAATCTTGATAAAATCCAGCCATGTACTTGATGAAGACTCTAGTTGGTAACTAGGAGCTGAATCTAGTTTAAAGCCTACGAAGGCAATTAAGGCACTGTTTCCCTGAACTTGGGTTCATTCGGGACACCGTGTAACATACAGAGCAGGAAGGTTGGGAAATGAAGTAAAAAATAAAGGTATTCTCAAAAGTTTCTCCATCACTTTTTTGTAAAGCCAGACACTACACTAGGGGCTAGGGATATAACTGGAACTCACAAAGGCATAGAAATCTGTAATTCACACTCTAGTGGAGAAAACAGATAACAAACAAATACAAATATCAGATCATGCTGTCTTGGTAAACTTAAAATAAGAGTATGGTGAGTTAGAGACTATCACTACCAGAGTGGCATCTTTGGGTTGGGCGGTAAGAAAGGTAATATTAAGTGAAAATCTCAATGATGAGGACAAGGGAGGGTATCTTCCAGGCATAGGATACAAACAGTAGAAAGACCCTGAGGAGGGTAATTTACTCTGGTCAAAGAAAAATGAATAGTACAGCTATATCACAGTGGCTAAAAGAGCAGTAAGGGAACAATGAAGTTAAGAAAGATCAGCAGGGGCTACAGTTAAGAGTCACATAAGTCTGAAAATTACAGCACGTATAATCAATGAAAAGCCCGCAGATTATTTTTTTGGCCTGGGAATGTTATATAATCTATATCTGAGAAAAGTCATTCTATTGAATGCAGAGTGGGTTAGAATGGATTTGGGGGAGGTGAGTGGAAAATAGGAATATAGGTATAGAAAACAATTGGAAGGTTAATGAAGTAGTCCTCATAAGAGATGATAGAGGCTTATACTAGGATGGGAATGGAGGTGGTGATGGTGGTAGAAGCAGTACTCATACTCAAGATGAATAAAGTACTTGCTATGTTCCAGCATAGTTCTAATAATTTCACAAGTTTACCAACAAGAACACTGAGATATACAGTGAGGTTAAGTGACCTGTCCCAAGTCACAGAAACTGTATGTGGAGAATCAGGATTTGAACTCAGGCAGTATGATTCCAGAATCAGCTATTAACTACTATATACTATACAGTGGTGATTTAAAAAAAAAAAATAGACTAAACTGTGATAGATTTAAGAGGTAGAAACTACAGGGTACTGATTAGATGATATTGCCATTTATTGAGATGGGAAAAGACAGAAATGAAGGTTTGAACAAGGGAATCTGTGATGATAATACAATGTCCAAGTGGAGGTTTCTAAGATAGTAGTTAAATCAGTAGCAACTCTTGGGAAATGTCAGGGCTGAAAGTATAGATTTGGGTTATTTGAGCAAATAAATGGTATTTAAGATCAGCTGACTTTAGGATGAAGTCATCTAAAAAGTATATAAAATACTGGAGGCCCAGAAAGGAGCCTGGGGTATTTAAAGCATAAAAGGAGTTACTGAGAAGAAACCATCAATAATGTAGAAACCAAGAAATGTGCTACAAAATGCAAAAGAAGTGTGTTTAAGAGGAACCAAGTTGAGGAAACTGTCAATTTTATAGTTTGGCCAAGTGATAAACAAGAATGGCAAAGTGACAGGGGATTTGGTAACATGGGGATATTTTGCTGAATCCAACAAGGGCAGTTTCAAGCAATTTTGGGGATGGAAGCACAAGTGGAGTATATTGAGGAAAGAATATGATATGAAGAACTACAATGGCCACTACAGACAATTCTTTCCAGAAGTTTGAATAGACGACTATAAAAAGGAGTCAAGAGCTGGGGAGGGATGTGGAGTCAGGACTCTGTAATAATTAAAGCTAAGAAACATGAGAGCACATTCTGCTATTGGGAATAATCCAGAGAGAAAGTCCTGAAATAACAAAGGGAAGAGAGAACATGGAGGAGTAGAGAGGGGTGGGATCTGGAGTACCAATGGAGAAGCTGGCCTAGGATAGGAGCAGAAATAATTCTTCCATATTACAGGAAGAAAGGAGAGGACTAGGAATGAAACCGGATAGTTGAGCAAATTTGGTGTGGGAACTGAGAATTCTTATAAATGACAGTTTCTATTTCCTCAAGGAAGCATGAGGCAAAATTATTAACTGAAAGCACAGTGGGATTAAGAGAGAACAGAAATATACATACACATACCTCCTAACACTATAATTTTTAATTTATAAAATATAAAGAAATTGAAGAGCTTTCCACTCTGTCAATTATCAACTATTACTGAAGAAAAAGATGTTTCACATATGCCAGCTTCAAATGTTTCAGGAACATTATAATAAAGAAAAATGTAGAACTGATGATGAACTCTCCAGGTAATGAGAGGTAGCAGACATATTTCTTCTGCCCCTTCCAAAGCTGTGCTCTATCCTTTTATCTAGTGCCTTACCCATATTTGTTAACAACTGTTCCTAATTTTTTTATCATGAAAACAGAGAATATTAAGTACTATGTAATGTTCATTAGCATAATTATATCCAGATGGATTTATAAAATAATAATTTTCTAACAGCACTTATAGCTATACTTCGCATTTCAAAGCAAGACTTCAGCACAGAAATTTTCACAGCAATGTAATCACATACAACTTTGCTATATTTTAAAACCATAATATCATCCTAACTTAAGCAACAAAAATAACATGATATTTAACTAATTAGTTGCTGAACATTTTGTATATTTTATTCACATATTTAATAGGCACTAATAGTAATTTTTCCTTCAAATCAATACCTTAATGGAAAAAAATTCTTAATCATTGGAGGCACAAAATATTAGTAAACTACTAGTTCTGAAAGTATGCCATATTAAAAATAAAAATATTATGAGTACTTGGGCTCATATTCTTACCCACTAAACTCTACTGTCTCCTCTAATCAAAAGCTTCATGTTGCCTAAATTCATATGATGAGACAGTGCCAAACTGGATCTCCTAATTCAACTCCATTTGGACACAACATATCATCAATAGTAATTATTCATATCCACTATCACATTTATAGAACACTAATAAAATACTGCACTACGAGCTTTAAGCACAGTATTTGGAATTTGCATGACGACACAGGCATTAAAAACCTTATTTACAAGTGAAGACACAGAAGCTCAGAAAGATTAAGTAAGCTATCAAAGGACTGACTCCAAAGCCCACACTTCCCCATATCCCAGGAGTTCTCAGTTTTTGCTGTGTACCTGAATTATCTGGGGAAAACATGTGAAAGAAAAACAGATGTATTCCTGGCCCTACCCTCTCAAGTTTAGGGGCCTGGTCTGATATTGAAGCAGGCATTCACTGAACAACATCTTGCTGCCTAACAACCCTACGAACAAGCTTTTCTTTGTTATTTTGTCTTTAAATAGAATGTGTTGGGATGTGGGTGGGGAAGGATGGGCACCTATGCAGGTTGCTTGTGCATAAATTACCTAGGACATCAAGGAACTGAGAAGCTTTGGTGTGAACTACAGCTGCCAGAGTGAAGTTGGATGCCCTAAGAGACAAAGGAAGCCCTCAGCAAAAAAGTGTGGAGGTGAATCAACAGCATAAATAAGATTTATGAACATGAAAGCTTGGTAAAGTTTCACTGAAATAAGAGAAATCTTAAGTCAATGGACCCTATAAATCTAGTGAGTAGGGGTTTCAGATGGTAACAATAGTAAAATTAGGGGACTCAACACTAGATCTGAGGGTGAAGTGAATCAGTGACATAGGTAATCCATACTTGCATACCTCTGGGTCTCCAGCACTCTATAAAGGACCCAGGTCCTTCTAGTTATTATTTAAAGGTCTAACTTAGTAAAAGTACTAATGAGAGTATTAGTAAAATCATAACCTAGTTAACTTCTTCTGGATACATAGGATAAAGAATATGATTTTTTTTTTAAAAAAAACCCAAAACTTGCAAAGTAATATTTGCCTGTTAATATTATCTAGAAAGAAGGTGAGTCAAGTAGGCATATAAAGGTCAGAGATGAAAATCCCATATTGGAAAAGGTAATAATAAAAGTTTAGTTACTGTGTCATCTAATATGGAAGCTCACTCTCATAGTTTTTAAGCTTTTTGGTCATAAACTCCTTTCAGTGTTTGATGAGAGCTACATTCTGCTCCCAAGAAAAATGTCCATGCACTTAGAATTGTGTATGTGACTTCACAGGGTCCGGTAGGCCACCCAGGTGCACAGACCTCTAAATCAAAAATCTCTTTTTTAGATATTGATGCTGTGTCATCCATCTGCTTCCAGAACAAGTACCCAGGCCCTTCTGATATCTCCTGAATGAGAACAAGGGGATTTAATAAATGAATTTTAAATGTTGGAAAAAAAGTCTTTTTTTATTGAAATGTTCATAATATTTAGTAAGAGCATGTCAGAGATATTATGTTTTCTTCCCTAGTGAAATCCCTCTATATTCATCACTTTTGTTGTAAAGCATCCAATTTGTGAGATTTGGCCAAAACTTAAGTTAGGTCATATGACTCCACAGAAAAGCAGGCAGTATGTAATGAGACAGTGGCGCCATTCCAAGAGTTCAAATGTGCTAACACAGGTAGAATTGTTATTATCCTGGGAGGAAATTTTAACTGGATCTCCAGCGTTATTCCAATAATAAATATTAGGAGATTCGGCCATAAAAAGGGAGGGTAATTTACTGTTTCTCAGAGGCTTACTTTCAAGACTACACAAGAGAGAGGAGATGTAGAAAGAGCACGTGCCTTCTTATAACATCAGTGTAACCTTGGGCTTCTGAAAATTCAATAGGCCGAGATGTTTAAAATAGCTCCCAGCTCAGTTCTTTCCATGGATCATTAACAAATGGAAACTTTTTATGGTGGATGTTGAGCTTCAAATTTGGAATTACTGCTTGATTTTAGTACTTTTTAAAATTGCAAAAGTTATTTACTTTTTCTTGGAAATGTTTTCTTTATGTCAAGATAACCAAGTTTTAGGTTTAAAATTAAGTTATAAATAGGCACGAGGGTATATAACATAATTCACACCATAATAAATCAGAATATAGGCTAAAGTTCATCTCTATATAAACATGAGAGAAAAAGACTTTCTCGGAAAATAAACAGGTTAATTACAGAACAGAATGTTTGCATGGCATCTATTTCTGCTCTCTTTAGAAGGAATACAAATCACTTTTACCTTTTTACTGAAATGGATTCTTGGGATAACTACAATATGGTTCATGTTACTATATATGGTGGAATACAAATGCATAATTACAACACTTTACAGCTGCTTTTATTATAGAAGAGGTATTCAACCACTATCTGCGGAACAGAACTTCAGGGCTAATAAAACGCAGAAGCCTAGTGATATTGTATGATTTTGATCTTTCAGGAGAACCCTCAAGCCTATGACATAAAGTGAAATTTGGCTGAGGCTTCATTTGCAATGACAATTGCTGTCAGATTCATGTGCATGAGCAAGGTAGGCAGAGGTAGATTGTCCAGGGCCTCTGTGGTCATCTACCCTGCTTCCCACAATATGAAGGAATCTGGCTCTATCGATTTGTAATTTTATGATTATAGACAAGATTCTCATTCTTCAGGTTTATTTTTCTTCTGTTGAATGACTGGCTCTTCTTGAGGTCTGTGGTTGTTCTCTATGTGCTCATAACAGGGTGGGAAAAGAAAATTATCTAGGTGTTTAAGTGAGCTCTAAGAGGCTTTGTGGGACCTACTAGTAAACTAGTGTAGGCTCAGACAAGGGGTGAACAGAAGAAATCAAATGCTGTAATTGGATTTTGCAGTTGAGAGGTCCAAATGTCTGTGGGCAGAAAGGAAGCAGCTGTGTGCAACAAGGAGCACTGTAGACTGCCTCCTAAGTCAGGTGCCCTCCCCATACTTCTCCATAACCTACCAGCCCTTAGCACTGAGCTTAGTCGGATTCAGCTGGAGGCCCTTCCCACTTATTATCCACCACACCTTCCAAGGCTACAACTATTAGGTGCTAGAGTTATATCAGTTAAAAAGCGGAATTTACAAGCTGCATGACCCTATGAATCAGGCAACCTGAAGGTCTGTAAGCAGAGGAGTGGCAAAATGATCAAATTTGCATTTTAAAAAAGAAAGCTCATGTTCCTTATATCACTTGCTTTATATCACTTGTTAAAGAATCTAAAGCATGCACCGGCTTTATAATTTTAAAAACATCAAATAAAAGAGCTCCTGCTAGAAACACAGAGGAGATTGGAGAACAGGCGAGTCTGCTGGCAGGGAGAGAAACTTGTTAGGAAGCCACTGCTCTCAGTGACATGGAGGAAGTGATGAAGGGATGAAAGACGGTAACAACAAAGGGAATTGAAAGTAGGAGGGATATGAATAATATTCAGTCAGTAACATCAAGAGGAAGAAGTAGCAGGAGAACTCTCAAATATGGGGCTTGGGGAGATAGTCAAGAGGAATATAAACATAAGAAAGAATAGGATACAAAATTGTATATATTGTGTGGTCACTGCATACATTATATTTTTACAAAAATATGCACAGGAATTCATCAAAATAGAAGTGGTTCGCTCTGCATGGTAAGTCAATCATTTAAAAAAAAACAACTCCTCCCCTGAATCTTTTATATTTATTAAAAATATACTTTTTTGTACATTCTGTATATTTTTGAAGCACATTCATTTCGAAAGCAGTTTACCTTCTTAATAAAAATCCTATGGTTGTAAAACTCCCTTGAGAAAAATTGGTCAAACCAAATGGCAAACCATATTTCATAACACGTTATACCACCTATAATTAATTTTCATGTCTTTGTGAGATCTCATTGACTATAAAATTGGAATGGTGAAGCAATCACCCTAGCTGTGGGTCTTCTCTTTCTAGTCTAGAAATTCACAGCTGAGAGAGGTGATGGAATTGCCGGCAGTCATTTGATTACTCAGTAATCACTGTAGTCACTTATGAATTGCATGCTCCTGCCTAGGGACTTTTCCACTTCCATCTGTGTGACTGGCTTTCATCTCAAGTGTCATACTCTCAATAACATCTACTATGTTTATCCTGATTATAAGAATAACTAGTGGCCCAGTGCATGAAATTTGTGCACGGGAGGAGGGTGTCCCTCAGCCCAGCCTGCACCCTCTCCAATCTCAGACCCTTTGGGGGATGTCGATTGCTGGTTTAGGCCTGATCCCGGGATGTCTGACTGCCAGGATCGGGCCTATCCCAGCAGTTGGACATCCCTTTCACAATCCTGGACCGCTGTCTCCTAACCACTCACCTCCGTGCCTGCCTGATTGCCCCTAACTGCTTCAGCCTGCCAGCCTCACCACCCCCTAACAGCTCCCCTGCCGGTCTGATTGATGCCTAACTACTCTACCCTGCCGGCCTGATCATCCCCAACTGCCCTCCCCTGCTGGCCAGATCAACCCCAAAGCTTTTATTAGTATAAATATGACCCTTCACAGAAAAATTTCACTAACCCAGCTTTAAAATAAGGGATTGACGATTGAATCATTGGGGCCAGGCACCAAGATTTCCTTTCTTTGAATAGTGGAGGGAATAATTATCTTGTCTTTAAATTGCCCTGAACATCAAATGAGATAATGACTTAGAAAAGCATAAAAGCACCATATAAAGACAACTGCCTTTTTCATATACTGAAAAGACAATAAAGTGGTAAAATGAAAAACACTATTTTTATTCTCCCCCTTCCTTCCTTTACAGCCTTTATTTAAACTTTGAAATTTAGAAAAATTTCACTCCTATTTTCATTTCTTTACATTCAATATTATTTTGTATTAGTTTCAGGTTTATTAGTTACAGAATAGTGGTTAGACAATCATATACTTTACAAAGTGTTCCCTGATATTTCCAGTATCCACCTGGCTTCATACCATCATTACAATACTGTTGACGCTATTCCCTATTTAAGTGACAATAGGTTTACAGGTTCCTTCCAATCTTTCTTTTGTGTTGCCTGCCCTTCCTTTTCTTTTTCATGTCTTCCCTCATTTTCTTTATATAGTATCTCAATTGGCCCTCAAAGCTCAGTGAAGGCACTGGGACAGGCTTAATCCATTTTACAGATCAGGAAACTGAGGCCAATTCCAGTTGGCTATGGAACTGGACTCCTGGCGCAGGGAGCCCTCACAGCCATGCTCTCCACCTTTCCTAAGGGAGAGCCACAGGGCAAACAGAACGAACCTCCCCAGGAGGCTTCCAAGCCTCATTCTCCAGCACCTCTTCATCATGGATGCTCCACATTCTTTCCTCTCCCCCGCCCCCACCCCATTCTTTACTGCCCCCCCTCTGGGGAGCAGGTGGTGTGCACCCCCATGGGGTGGGGAGAGAACTGGGGGCGGGGCGGGCGCAGGCTTGTTTTGGGGCCAAGGCGGGAGCAGGAGTGCAGGCCGCGGGGAGGCCCGGTCAGCGCCAGGAGCTTCACCAAGCCGCAGTGGGGTACCCAGCAGTGCGGCGCTCCTCCACTGAGGTGGCGCCGCCCCTCCACCCCTGCCTCAGGGCTGCAAGTCTGCATCCCTCCACCCGGGTGTCCTTCCATGCCTGCAGTCATCGCCTCTTATTTCCCACCTATTGGGGCCAATACAGAACCTCACTCTCCCCAGGCGAGGCACATATCCCCCTGCCAGCACCCTGCCCAGGCCTGAGCCTCCCCCCCCCAGTGCACCCCATCTTGGCGCCGCTCTGCGCCCCTTGGGCTGCGCTTCCTGGCCAGCCGCTTCCCCGAAGCCATGGCGCTTGCCCAGGATCCCCCATCAGGCGGAGACCTGTGCACGTGCCTGCAGACCCCATGGCCGGGCTCCTGGCAGCCACTTTGCCAAAGGTTCCTCTACCTTCAGGCTCTCCTCAGACCCCCGGGAGCTTGGCTCCCGCGGCCCAGCCCTTCCGTGGCTCCCTGCAGCCCCCGCTCTACTCAGCTCTCCTGCCACCCACCTGTCAGGACGCTGCCTGGCGCCTTGCTGCGGGCAGTGTGGTTCTGGGGCAGGGGCTGGGGGTGTGGGGAGCAGCTCCAGTAAAGTTTAGTAAACCCCAGGCCCCCAGCCCCTCCTTGAGTGAAGCCCAGGGCAGGCTGGGGGCCTGGGTCTGAACACTGCAGCTGCGGAGGACCCCGCCCACCCAGGGCCTCACACAGGGGTCCTGGCTGGTGTTGGGGCTGGATGGCAGCTCAAGCTGGCCCTCCCTGCCTGCAGTATGCAAATTAGCCGCCATCTTGGTTGGCAGTTAATTTGCATATCGCCCTGATTAGCCAATGGGAAGTGTGTCAGAGGTACGGTTAATTACCCTATTTGTCTATTATTAGATAGGATGTGTCCCTGTCACCACCACCACCACAGGATTCCCAATATTGTTTTACCTGCTTTGTTTTCAATGCACTTATCACCTAATATGTGACATAATTTATTTATTTTATTCAGTGTTTCACCCCCTAGAATCTAAGTTCCTAAAGTCATACATGGATTTTTATTGTTTTTGTTCCCAAACGTGTCGGCAGCACCAGAACACTACTAGCACATAATCAATACTCAATAAATATTTGTTGAATTAACATATGCATAAATGAATAATGCATGAAAGAATAAATTAAATAACTATTAGATTTAAACAATCACATGAAATTACTTTACAAATGAATATCAGTCATTACTATTTTCTACTTTAGAAGTTTCTGATTTTCCGCTTAAACATTTGTAGAGACGAATTTAGCCTATGGGGTTCAATAAAGTTCATTCTTCTTATATATATCTATTAAAGTTTTCTGTAGATTCAAAAAGGTGAGGATCGTATTAATAAAATAATATCTCTAATTAATTAAATGTATAAAAATTAAACAATATAAGCTTTACCAGTAAATGATGCAATAAAGTTTCACTTTTTGTAATTAGAGCTTCCAAATTGTCTTATTTCAAGATATTCATTTGTGGTTGAGGACACTGAGAAACCATGCTCACAATTTCTCATTTAACCACGTTTGTCTGGTTTTTTTAATCGTTAGTAATGAACAAGAATGAGGGCAAATGCACAAGAAGGGAAGGGCACACATTCAACTTCAAATATAAGAGCAATTTAAACTACTTTACTATGTCTTGGAGTTATGGCACCCTCTAGTGTTTACTATGCAGAAATGCTATGAGAACAAATAATGCAAAAGTCTTGTCAGCTTTTTTAAAAAATTTAGGCAGCTGGACAAAATGATATAAGCACATGACTAAGTGACAGATCAAATGTTTAATTTTGAAATATAGAAGGAAAGTTGAGAAATCAAGGTGGCATAAGAAGAATAAACCATTTAAATAACTTTGAAACAAGAATATTCTTCAAGAAAAAAAGGACAAAGGCAAATTAGTTATTAAAGAAGGAAAAATTTGAAAAACTTTCTGGAACTCTGTGAATAAACCATTTCAAAATGTAAAATTTGATAAAAGTAAATTATCAAATAACACAAAGAATTTATCTTTGAATACTCAGGAGCTATAATTATAAGGCTTTTTCATAACATAGCCTCAACCCTTAATCCCTATGGATAGCATTATAACAAGGCCTCAGTAGATTAAGAGCTCCCAGGTAACTAAAAAACATTTTATTATACTAGGGTGTGACTATTTCAGCTTATTCAGTATTTTCTAACTTAGGTAAATTTCTTTATTGGCTAATGCTGCTGCAGGTACATTTGCAATGACACTAACATTACTTACACCAATATAGGCTTTCCCGATATCCTAGGATGTCTTAGCACTTCTGACATTGTCTCTTTTGTCTCTTCCATTCTCTCTTCATCACTGGAATCCACGACAAATATTACCCCATAGGACTCAGCATAGTAATTCTTCCAGATTCCCCGAATTCTTTTTCCACCTCCCAAGTCAAAGATGGTGATTTCAAACTTCCCTTGTCTAAGGTCAATTTTGGAAAATCCAACAGTAGGAGCTACGTCTTCAGGATATTCTGTTTTGAATGATATGAAATAAAAAATCTTTAGACTTTAAATTAATAACAATTTAACTTCACAACTTAAATAACGTACAATGGAATGGAATGTTGGAATAGAATGTTTATTATTTCCTTACACAATGAGCATTACATCTAAGCATACTGGTCTGGGGGAAGGGTGGATAATATAAAATACCCAACTAGAATTCACTCTCCATGCAGATAAGAGTTTCTGTCTGTCTTTATTCATTTGCTTTTATTAATATATACCTAGCTCCTAGAATCATCCCTACTGTATAACAAGTACTTAATAAGTATCTGTAGAATGAATGAATAAATGAATTTTTGCCTTTAAGATATTTACTCTCCGAGTTACAAACAATAAAAATTTCAATCTTTCAACACCACAGACAGCTCCAGGAACCATAACAACATCTACACAGTTATTTTTTTTAAATCTGAACATTTAGAGAACAGTTTAAAAGAACCAAAGAATGGCAGAAGCTAAGGACCACTCTTTTTTAATTAACTGAATTCAAGCTATACTTAGAATTAATAAGACTTGTGAGGGCAGCTTATCAATATAAAAAGTAGATTTCATTATTTCTACATGTTTTGGATGTTCTTGTAAATTTATAATTGAATTTTTTTACTTCTGTATATGACCAAGATGGTACTAGAAGTATATGATTATAACTACTAAGGATTGGTAATGACATTAAGAGATTTAAAAGATCACTAAGGTTCAAGAAAGACAAACTAGAAGCTGGGATTTAAACCTTAAAGCCAGGAAGGATTTAGACAGAAAAGTGATCTAAGTAACAGAAATGGTAAAGGCAAGAAGTATGGACAAGTTGAACACTGTGGTTGGAGCAAACCCTTAAGATTGTTAATGCAGACTGAAGAGAATTCTGAAGAGAGAGAATTGTGAGCCACAGAAGATATTTGAGCAGACCAATAATATAACTAAGGTAACTAGAGTGTGATTTATTAAGATTCATCTTTGCAAAAGTCTCCAGAATTGACTGGAAATACGAGTGATAGCCACTTTTCAAAGAGAAATGAAAATAAAAAGACAGATTATGAAAGAGTAATAGGACCTGTGTCTCAATTGTTATGGAGAAAAGTTTAAACTTTATGTCTGTTTCTTCCATTCTCTCTCCACCACTGGAATCCACAACCAATATTATTCTATTAGGCTTTGTTTATAGTTGCAGGGCTGAAAATTACATGGGGCTTTTTAATTTTAAACCAATAAAATAAAATAAAATAAAATAAAAAATTCAGTTCCTCAGCTGTATTAGCTACATTTCAAGTGCTCAAAAACCATATGTGGCTAGTTGCCCACCTTACTGGATACAGCCAATCTAGAACATACCCCTCATTGCAGAAAGCTCTAATGAATAACCCTGGTTTAAAGGGTCTTACCCCGCCCCCTCAGCATGTGCATTACAAAGATAACTTTGAAAGGCTTCTGCTGCTAAGCTTAGGTGTGACTGATAGACAGACTTCCACTAAGCACTCTAGGGCACTTTACACAGCTTCCTAAAGAAGTTACAGGTCACATTTTTTGTAAGACTTCCTTATTTAGAAGGAAAAAAAGGCAAGTTTAGAAGCAGTATAAGCAGCCAGATATTCTAAAAACAGGATTACACTAGACATTTAAAAATGTGAAATCTAGTCCAGGCCAGAACTGCTTTCCACAGTTAAAATAGGCAGCTGGTCTCTGAGTAGGATTTGAGAGCTATCCTCAGGGCATTATCAGTGAGAACAAGTAACTATGCTGGAGTAGGGACAAGGGAACTAAAATGTACAGAGCACCTACTGTACCAGGATTTGTTAGGCAGCAGGATGTACAGGTAAATCAGATAGGGTTGCTATCCTCCAAGAATACACAGTTCAATACAGAGACAGCATATTAGCACGATTTTAGCATAAGAACCAATACATTAGACTGTGAAGGGGTTATGGACTGCATGTCTGTGTCCCCACAAAACTCTATGTTAAACCCCACCCCAAATGTGATGCTATCTGAAGGTGGACCTTTGGGAGGTAATTAGGTTTAGGTGAAGTCATGAGGGTGAAGCACCCATGATGAGACTAGTGTCCTTCTGAAGGACACAGAGAGCTTGTTCCCTTCTTTCCTTCTTCCACCTGAGGACACAATGAGAAGATGGTTGTCCGTAAACCAGGAAGAGGGAAACACCAGGAATCCGACCATGCTGGCACCATGATTGCAGACTTCCAGTGCCGGGAATCGTGAGAAATAACTGTTTCTGAAGCCACAGTCTATGGCATTCTGTTATAGCAATCCAACTAATAAGACAGTGAGCATTGTTTATGGCATTCTATTACAGCAGCCCAAACTAAAACAGAGGGCATTCAAGGGGAAAGGGATAAAAAGAGGGGTGAGTTATGGTCTAGAAAGGCTTCAGAAAGGAAAGGAAATGAAGTCTGAAAAGCTACAAAATTATAACAAAAAAGGGAGAAGAACATTCTAGACAGGAAACCAATGTAAACACAGATAAAATGATGGCCACATTTGCAGGAACCCAATCAAGATTAAGTAATTTTTTCAAGGTCACATGGTAGGCAGAGCCAGAACTCAAATACAGGACTTTATTTTTTTTTTAATTCTTTATTTTTAAAAGTATTACATATAGTATTACATATGTCTCCTTTTTCCCCCATTGACCACTCCCTGGCCAGCCCCACCCCCAGTTCAAACACAGGACTTTAAAAGCCTGCTTATTTTGATACGCCGAATGTCCTACCCTTCTTCTCTATTCTTTCCTCTGGTCCCTATGCATGATTCTGTGTTTCAAGATTCTAGACTAAATATTCAGGTTACAATCTTCCCCTAAATCTTTCTCTGACAATTCCTTCCTACTTTCAGCATCATAAAATTTCTTCTTGCTGGTTTTCACAATAGTCTATACCTTCCTAATACCTGGGACCTATCTCTGTAGTCTTAGCATTCAGCACAAAGCATATAGTGGCTCAATCCATAACACCAGACTGCTAAGATAGCTGAAGCTGCTATCTTTATGTCTATTCTTCTTTTTCCTTCCATATATTTACCCACCCACCCATGCTTATAATCATTTATTGAGGGCCTATTATATATTGGCATCATACAAGAATCAGGGATAAAAAAAACATATGGTTCCCAACCCTGAGGATTTCATACAGTATGTGTTCAGAAAACAAATCTATAGAGTCTAAGATAAAATGAAAATACATAATCAATAACTATTTATTAAACATCTGTTATGTGCTATGCACTGTGTAAGGTACTAGATATCTAAAGATTAATAAGGCCCAATTTTCTGATCTTAAAACGCTATTACATAAGAAAAATAGGAGGAAACATATATAAACAAATAACTATAATATAATGAATATGTATTAATATCCAACAATCGTAGGGACCAATTTACACAAACAATTTTCCCACCCAAAATACCGATAGTTGTTTAGGAAATTTTAGGAAACAGCATTGGATAGAGAATCCTGGATTATTTTATCTGAGCACATGGCTTTTTAGGATAAAGACTGCAGGCCCTAGTCTCTACAGCAGTCAGGTGTGGCTGAGAGAGCAGGTTCTAGGTAGTGTGCTGGTGGCATATTGTTAGACGTTTAATTGGGTCAGTGGAACTCTGATAGGTAGTGTTTACCATGTCCATGGTGAAAATACTCCCACTACGGACAATTTCAAACTACCAACATGAGATACCTGAACACAGAGTTGGAAAAGAAATGTGCACATTTGGCTCTTCTTAACTGGTAAGAGGCAATAAGCAGGAGCCAGACCCAGAACACCACTGATTCCAGTCAACGGCAGGTGGTGTCCTCTGATCCCGCACTTAAAGGAAAGGAGGATGGCCTCCCCTTGCCCTTTATCTCTTCCTTCCAGTTGAAATGCATTAGGGTCATGAGCCACCGTGGACCACATAGGCAAGAGAGAATACTTGTAATGGCAAACAAGAGAGGGAACTTGAGTCCCTAACACCATGAAGCTACTATACCAGCCATAGACTGCTTTTGGCTGCATTGTTATGAGAGAGAAATACACTTCTATTTTTAAAGTCACTGGTATTTTAGGTCTCTGTTAGAACAACCACATCTATACCCAATTAATACAAACATTTTGACACCCCTGAAGAAGAGAAGTTGATGCATAACCCATGGACACAGACAATAGGGTGGTGAAGGCCTGGGGTGGAGGGCGGTCTGGAAGGGGTCAATGGGAGGAAAAAGGGGACATATGTAATACTTTCAACAATGAAGACTTTTTTAAAAAAAGAGAGAAATTAAGCTCAAGATAGGGAAAGTACTCTTAGTTTAGGAGGCTATAGTAATGCTATAGATGAAAGACACTGTAGGTCTGGATTTAGACAATGGCAATACAGTTAAAGAGGAAGGAGATATATCTCAAAAGAAACAAGCAAATATCAAAAACAAAGAAACAAACAGAGAAGAGCCAGAAATAAGCGGAAGAGAAGTCATGAGTAAAATGTTTTAAGAATATTGGCTGCAACACTTAAGATGTGACCTAAACTGTAAAACAAATAAAACTATCCTTTGGGAATTTACAGTTTGGAGAGGTGGAGAGATACATAAACAAAAAGGCAATTAAGTAGTGATTCAAGCAAGTTTAGTAAAGGTAAGAGTAGACCAAAACAGAGGAAATAGTTCTACTCATGATAACAGAGGTAAGTAGCTATTCTATCTTAAAGGCTCATTTGAAAAAGTTAAAGTACTTCTATATAACTGGAATCTTTAAAAAAGAAAAAAATTAGTCTCTGGAGTGTGCTGAAGAGTAAATATGAAGTGAAGAACAAAATCAGAGCCAAAGTTAAAGGTAGTTTTGACTATGTGTTCACTGGACACCTTGAACATTTTCTAACTCTGATAAAGAAACTAATGGGTACATGAAGGTGGAAATCAGAAGAGGAAGGTCCACAGGGGAGGAAACCTTTTTTCTGCCACGGGCCATTTAGCTATTTATAACACCATTTGTGGGCCTTACAAAATTATCAACTTAAAAATTAGCCAGCAGCCCTAACCGATTTGGCTCAGTGGATAGAGCGTCAGCCTGCGGACTCAAGGGTCCCAGGTTCGATTCCGGTCAAGGGCATATACCTTGGTTGCGGGCACATCCCCAGTGGGGAGTGTGCAGGAGGCAGCTGATCAATGTTTCTCTCTCATCGATATTTCTAACTCTCTATCCCTCTCCCTTCCTCTCTGTAAAAAATCAATAAAATATATTAAAAAAAAATTAGCCAGCATTTGATCAAACATTTAATTAACTCACAGCTAATGCCTTGGAAGGGCCAGACCAAACGATTTTGTGGGCCTTATATGGTCCGCAGGCCTGAAGTTCCCTACCCCTTGTCTAATGGAAAGAGGATACTCTAGGTACACATAACAAATTAGATGATCTGATGAGCAGATTCCTAGAATCTGTTCCCTTCAATGTTAAGACTTTGAAAGAATAGAAGGGAAGATGTTTAGATAAAGGAGTCATGACTGGAAAGCCAAATCTGACTCACCAATGCTGCTGTTTTTTTTAATCCTCATCTGAGGATATGCTTTTACTGATTTTAGAGGGAGAGGGGAAAGGAGAGGGGAAAGGAGAGGGGAAAGGAGAGGGGAAAGGAAAGAGGAGGAAAAGGGGGGAGGAGGAGGAGGGAGAGAGAAACATGGATGTGGGACTGACACCAATAGGTTTCCTCCGGCACATGTCCCAACCTGGTGCATGGGATGACACCCCAACTGAGCCAACCAGCTACAGCTTGCCAACTTTTCGTTTATTTGTTTGTTTTTAACAGGTGTTGATCATCACAGATTTTGCTGCAAGAATCTTTGATTCTGAAATATAGGAGCCTGTGTAATTTTATCTCTAATTTTCCAAAGGCACCAAATGCCTGCCATTGACTTTTTCATTGAGCGCCTACTGCAAAGAATGTGTAAATCCTCTCTCATTTTCTGCTCTTATGACTGCAGTTTTTGAGTTCTCAGGCTAAGAATGTGTTTTACATCTTAAAATAATTGCAAAAAAAGAAAATTTCATAACACACCAAATAAAGTTTCATTAGAACATGATCATGCTCATTTGTTTACACACTGTGTATGGATGGCTTTCATACTAGTATGTTAGAATTGTATGGTTGGAGGAGAGCATATGATCCTCAAAGGCTAAAAGATTTACTATCTGGCTCCGCAGAAGTTTGCCAAGCCTGGTTTAGATGATGACAGCGAGTGCTCTATAATATCTAGGAGATAGCATGAAGGTACCATAGCTTTAGAACAGTGGTTCTCAACCTTCCTAATGCCACAACCTTTTAATACAGTGCCTCATGTTGTGGTAACCCTCAATTTCATTGTTACAAATTGAACATAATTAAAGCATAGTGATTAATCACAAAAACAATATGTAATTATATATGTGTTTTCTGATGGTCTTAGGCGACCCCTGTGAAAGGGTCGTTTGACTCCCAAAGGGGTCGCGACCCACAGGTTGAGAACCGCTGCTTTAGAAGAATCCACAGACAATATGCCATTTACATCTAATATCACATAGTAAAATTTGGGGTGACAAAGTATTTTTCTCCAATAGCAAGCTTTGCAAAATGTTAATTTTCTTTTATAAACTTGCATAAATAAAAGCTCCCTGACTGTCTGTATACATGGTATCTTCTTGAAACATCCATTTTCAGAAACAAATATATGTTAGGTTTTCTCCCACTTCATTCCCTTCAGACACCTGGCTGGTGCTATATCTCCTAGGTACACAAAAAACTCCCTAGCACAGTTATTTCTATACTAGAGGCCCAGTGCATGAAATCCATGCATGGGTAGGGTCCCTAGGCCTGGGTGGTGATCAGGGCCCATCAGGTTCCCCGCCTCCCCACCTCCTTGCCTCCCCGCCTCCTCCTTCCCTCACTCCCTCAGCACCCCACCAACCCCTGGTGGTCAGCACATCTCATAGTGAGCAATCGAACTCCTGGTCGAACTCTTGAGTTTGCATATTAGCCTTTTATATATATAGGTTGTAATACAAAGCGCTGAATTAAGACTAAATAAATACATCCAATAAGTTATAATATAAATGGCATAAAACCCTTTAACAATACAGAGGTCCTATCTATATATAAAACCCTAATATGCAAATAGACCGAACCGGTTGCTATGATGTGTGCTGACCACTAGGAGGAGCATGTGCAGAACATGGTGAGCGTCGGCAGCAGATGGCAGAGTGTGGAACATGGCAGGCATTGGCCATAGCGGGATGGTGGATCAGGTGAGCAGGGGCGTCAGACCAAGGCGGGGCACTGGTCGCTGTCATCGGGGCGAGTCTCTGACTGTTACTAAATATTCTTTGCTCCCACACACTGCAGTTCTGCCCGGCACCCACACCTACTGCTGGTGCCAGCCTTGCTTGCACCCGCTGCCAGAGCCGCTGCTCATACCCGCTGCTGGTGCCGGCCCCGATCGCTCAGTGTTGTCAGCAGGTGCGAGCGGCAACTGCCGGCCCCAAGTGCTCCTCAGGACCTCTCCACCTCCCCCTGCTCCTCAGGGGCGACTGGGGCAGCAGCCACCGCTCGCACCCACTGACAGGGCCGGCCCCGCTCACACCCACTGCTGGCACCAACACCAATCACTGTGCGCCATCAGTGGGTGCGAGCAGAGCCGGCACGGTCAGCACGTGGGAGCGGCAGCAGCGGGAGTAGGGCTGCGGGCAGACAGGGGACCAGAGGCCACGGCAGGAGGGGCCAGGCGAGGGTGCAGAGGATGGGCCAAGACCCACCCCTGTGCCCACCGCAGCCTGGCGGCCCACAGTTCCTTTCAAGGTGCACAAATTCATGCAATGGGACCCTAGTCTTCAAAATAATTCTAAAACTTACATATCCTATTGAAAACATCAAAAGATGCAGACAGTTGTGCTGGCTAATGATATTTCTACCTCCCTTTCATTTAGTGTAGCCTTGTGACTAAATTCTGGCCAAGAAGGTATAAGTAGAAGGTGGGTATCCTTAAAAACAGGGGCATGTAGCTTCTTTACTTTTCCTTCCTATGGGCTAGAAGACCAATGTAATCCCTATTAGCTGATAAAAGACCTCAAGGAGCCTCTGCATCTTTGCATTTATTCAAATATGAAACATGAAAACAGGCTGGTATTATGAAGGCGGAGTCTATTCACCACATTAGCCATAGTACAGTGAGAATATAAAATAACGGAGTGCACACTACCTGTACTCAAGGAATATGTAATAGAGAATGTAAATAGATAAATAAATCGGAATAATTTAGTAATAAATATTTCCTGCTTACCTCCTTGGATTCCTTTTGCCGTTGCCGTTTTACCAGCATTATCAAGTCCCACCATCACAAGAGTCACCTTTCTTAAAAGAACAAAAATTTTAAAATTACTTTGAGTTAATTCAATACTAGAAAAAATAAAAGCAAATACATTCATCCAAGCAACATTTAGGAGGATCTGCTATACAAGACAATCAGCTAGATATTAAGGGTAAAATGATGAGTAAATGTAGACTAAAAAGCAAAATTCATGAAGAATACCTTTAAATTATTATCCTTTCATTCTCTAAGAAAAAAAAAGGGGGGGGGGTGGATTGTACAATAGAAACCCAAAGGATAGAGAAAAAATAAGGAAAAGAAAAGAGAAAAATGGAGGGAGGGAGATGGATTCTGACTTGAGTTATATATCATGACTAAAGATGAAATGTTCTAGTTAATTGAATTCTAAGGATTATCAGAAATCTGTTTTTCTTATGTAATTACATAAGAAAAGAATTATTGTTATATTCTAGGCACTACTTGTGTGCTAAACTCTGTTTTTAGAAATATGTAGCACCTTACCAAGTACACATCTTACATATAGTATAGTCACATGATTATTAAGTGCTAACATATTTTCAAAGAGCACTACAATTACAAAGCTTAAAATGTATCTGGTGATATAGCTAAACTTCACAGAATCAGAAAAAAAATACAGTCTAGTTCAATTTTACAGCTGAAAAGTCATAAGCCCAGAGTTGGAAGACGTAAGACAATGAATAGGTTTAACAAGAACCAAAACCAAATTAATTCACCTAAATCCTAGAAAATTCTTTAACCTGGGACAGGTACAAAGGAACAAACCTATTATACTGGTCCTATTAACATGACAATTCAGTCCACCACTAAAACTCATTTCTGTTCTAGGCTACACTACTACACAATATGAGATGAGACTGTCCATTAACAGCATGGATTTGAGAATACAGAGAGAAAGGCACAGCATAACACAGCTAGCTGCTGGGTTAAAACCACAAGGCACCCTAGCCAGTTTGGCTCAATGGATAGAGTGTTGGCCTGTGGACTGAAGGGTTCTGGGTTCGATTCTGGTCAAGGGCACATGCCCGGTTTGCGGACTTGATCCCGGGGGGGTGGGGGGGGGGGGAGGAAGATGCCAGAGGCAGCCAATCAATGATTCTCATCATTTATGTTTCTCTCTCTCTCCCTCTCCCTTCCTCTCAGAAATCAATACAAATATAGTAAAAAAAAAAAAAAAAGCACAAGGCTATGGGAGGCAACCAGTCAATGTGTTGCTCTCACATCGATGTTTCTCTTTCTCTCTCTCTCTGTTCCTCCCTCCCTTCCACTCTCTGAAAATTAATGGAAAAAGTATCCTCAGGTGAGGATTAACAAAAAATAAAATAAGTAAATTATGAGTTATATAGTATGTTGGAAAGTGACTAAGTACTATAGGAAAAAGAACGGAGCAGGATAAAGGGAGCAGTAGTGGGGATAGGAGGTGGGCTGCAGTTTTATATAGGGTGACCAGGGTGGGTCTGATTGAAAAGGTAAAGCCTGAGCAAGGCCTTGAAGGAGGGAGTTAGTCATCTGGGGCAAAAGAGAACAGCTGGACCAAAGGCACTGAAGTGGGGACATGCTGGCATGTTCCAGTATCAGCAAGGAAGCCACTGTGGTAGAACTCAGTGAGAGCCCTGGCCCGATGGCTTAGTTGGTTAGAGAGTCACCCGGTGCACTAAAAGGTGGCAGGTTCAATTCTCGATGAGGGCACATATCCATGTTGCAGGTTCCATCTCTAGTCAGGGCCCATATGGAAGGCAACCAATTGATGTTTGTTTCTCTCTCTCGCTCTCTCTCCTCTCTTTCTCTCTCCCTTCCTCTCTCTAAAATCAATAAAAGCATATTCTCCAATGTGGGTTAAAAAAAAAAACAACAACAACAGTGAGAAAGGGGCAGGGAAGGGCAGATCAGAAACACATCAAAGGCAAGATCATGCAGGACCTTATACACTATGGTGAGGACTTCGGCTTTTGTGAGTGAAATTAATGTACTCTCCATGTTAATTTCCTTTGTTATCCTGAAGCCTTAGTCTTTTCCAAATGTTTCAATCATCCCTACCCGCGATGGGGAATAACTGGAAGGATGTCTATGCTTGAGTCAGTGAAAGAACAAAGCAAGCCACAACTAGCAGCATCCCCATACAACATGCCCAGTCAGCCATCACCGGGATCAGAGAGAAAGCCAAAGAGATCAACAGCAGATTATGAATTTAAGGAGCTGAGATAGTATGTAGGTACTACTATCCATGTGAAAATTTTACCTGCATTATCAATTTTGAAAAATATCAGTTTATTTCTTGAGAAAGCTGTGAGGTATTTAGAGTATAATTTATTATTTTGTTTGAAGAAGTTGTAACTACTAAATACTAAGGAATGAGATTTAAATGCAAAATACTTTCCTAAACAAAATATAGTAAATGACTATACTAAAAAAGGTAAATAATGTAGCATTTTAAGCAATATTTTAGAAAATTCAAGACACTACATATACAATGAATTAGACTAAAATTATATTAAAGTTAATTCAATTGTTCTTTACTAATTTATAATTCAGTTCAAGATCTACAGTACTACTAACATCACCATGAGCCAAAAAAATTACTTTTGGGAACAAATCACCATTCACTGCTTGTTTGCACCACTTATTCTATAAATATTGATTAAGCACCTATTATAAAATAGCAAATAAACATCCACAATCCCCAGCCCTCATAAACCATAGAGCCTAGCAAGAAAATAGGCGATGGAGAGGTAATTATGCGTGATGACTGTTGTCGAGGGAAAGCACAGGCAGCCACAGGAAGAGATAACAGGCAACTGTGCCTATTCTGGAAGTCAAGGAAGACCACACTACAAATATGCAGCAGCTGGGTCAGCAGTTCCTAGAAACATCATAAAACCTTTCAAATCCCTTATAAGACAAAGTAAAACATCTTAAATTACTTTCTAAGGAAAATGGCCCCTCATTCTCTTAAATGGGTAGCATCTAATGTCCACCTACCCAACTCCATCCTTGTTAATATTTCAGTTTTTTAAAAAACTTCCAGCCCTGGCTGGTGTGGCTTAGTTGGTTGAGTGTCATCCCATGTACCAAAAAGATCAATGGTTCAATTCCTGGACAGGACACATGCCTAAGTTGCAGACTCAGTCCCCAGGGGGGACATGCAGGAGGCAGCTAATACATGTTTCTCTCACACATCAAGATCTTTCTCTCCCTCCCTCCCTCTTCCTCACTCTCTGAAAATATTTTTGTAAAAATATTCCAAATTATTACTATTACACATTGTTCTTAAAGCTAGCTACCAAAAATGTTAGCTTTTACCTTAAATGTTTTCATTATTTAAAAATGTATCTTGCCCTAGCCGGTTTGGCTCAGTGGATAGAGCATCGGCATAAGGACTGAAGGGTCCCAGGTTCAATTCCAGTCAAGGGCATGTACCTTAGTTGCGGGCATATCCCCAGTAGGGGGTGTGCAAGAGGCAGCCAATCAATGCTTCTCTCTCATCATTGATAGTTCTCTCTCTCCCTCTTCCTTCCTCTCTGAAATCAAAATATATTTTTTAAAATGTATCTTCATTGTTGAAGGTATTACAGATGTCCCTCTTCCCCTGCCCCCCCCCCACCCCGTTGACCCCCTTTATCCTACTCCCGCCCCGCTCTCAGGCCTTCATCACACAATTGTTGATTGTCTATGTCCATGGGTTATGCATATCTACACTAATAAAAGACAAACATGCAAATTGACCGTACCTTTGCTACACCTTAAGCCACGCCCACCAGCCAATCAGAGTGACTATATGCAAATTAACCCAACCAAGATGGCAGCCAGCAGCCACGGAGCTGGAGTGAGCTGGAGGCTTCATTGCCCCAATGATGGAGGAAGCCAAGCTTCCTGCTTGCCAAGGTGACTCTGAGTTCCACTCAAAGCAACAAAGTTTCAATTATAGAAGGCAAATAAACCCCAGATACATGCTTTCAGCCAGCTGTGGCCACGGAGCTGAAGCGAGCAGGAGGCTTCCCTCCTGCCTGCCCTGGCCAGCTCTGAGCTCCTCTCAAGGCAACAAAGTTTCAATTATAGAAGGTAACCAAATCCCAGAATAAAAAAAATGAAAAAAACGAGAGGCTGGGAGCTTCCGTTGCTGGCGGGGGCTTGGCCAGCCTGAAAACGGCCCTCAGCCCCTCACCCAGACTGGCCAGGCACCCCAGTGGGGACCCCCACCCTGAAAGGGGTGTGTGACCAGCCTGCAAACACCCATCAGCCCCTCACCCAGGCTGGCCAGGCACCCCAGTGGGGTCCCCACCCTGATTCGGGACACCCTTCAGGGCAAACCAGCTGGCCCCCACCCGTGCACCAGGCCTCTATCCTATATAATAAAAGGGTAATACGCAAACTGACCCTAACAGCAGAATGACTGGGAATGACTGGTCACTATGACACACACTAACCACCAGAGGGCAGATGCTCAATACAGGAGCTGCCCCCTGGTGGTCCGTGAGCTCCCACAGGGGGAGCTCTGCTCAGCCACAAGCCAGGCTGATGGCTGCCAGCACAGCGGTGGGGTGGTGGTGGAAGCCTCTCCCGCCTCCTCAGCAGCGCTAAGGATGTCCGACTGCAGCTTAGGCCTGCTCCCCACTGGCAAGTGGACATCCCCCAAGGGCTCCCGGGCTGCCAGAGTGATGTCTGACTTCCAGCTTAGGCCCAATTCCCCAGGGAGCGGGCCTAATCCAGCAGGTGGACATCCTCCGAGGGGTCCCAGACTGCAAGAAGGCATAGGCCGGGCTGAGGGACACCCCCGAGTGCACAAAAATTTGTGCACTGGGCCTCTAGTATTCATATAATTTTTAAACAGGATATTAGATTCAAATAAAAAGAATTCTTCAAACATGAAAATCACTTGGAATATTGTAATCATGCTGAGACGAGCACAAAATAAGCCTCTCTCTGGATTTCTATTTACTTTGACTAACCTTGCAAATTAGTTAATTTTGAAGATCATTAAGCCATATACTTGAAAACATGGATTTAA